TTGTTCGGACGACTTACTTCTAAGTCGCCCATTGAGGTCATTTTTGCAATTGAAATTTAAATGGGACGACTTACTTCTAAGTCGCCCAGCTTTGTTTGTTAAAAAAAAAAAACGCAGATGACTTATAATTAAGTTGTCTAGGTAAAACGGGCTACTTTTGCATTTGACCGAATTGTGTCAGATATTTGACTTTTTCTGGGCGACTTCAAATTAAGTCGTCTATGGGAAAGTTAAAATATCAATATTTTATTTTATCCAGACGACTTACGGATAAGTCGTCTCAGGTTAGTTTTGCAATTCAAAAATAAAACTTAAATTTTTAACTTCTCCAGACGACTTAATTAGAAGTCGTCTGATCAGACAACTTATGTTAAAGTCGTCCAGAATAAGCAAGGTTTGACCAGAAAACTCGAAAAATATTCTGGACGAGTTTGATTATCCTGGACGACTTTAACCTAAGTCGTCTAAGCGGTCGACTTTTAATTAAGTCGTCTGGAGAAGTTAAAAGTTTAAGTTTTATTTTTGAATTGCAAAACTAACCTTAGACGACTTATCCGTAAGTCATCTAGATTTAATAAAATATTGAAATTTTAACTTTCCCAGGGACGACTTACTTTNATTCTGGACGAGTTTGATTATCCTGGACGACTTTAACCTAAGTCGTCTAAGCGGTCGACTTTTAATTAAGTCGTCTGGAGAAGTTAAAAGTTTAAGTTTTATTTTTGAATTGCAAAACTAACCTTAGACGACTTATCCGTAAGTCATCTAGATTTAATAAAATATTGAAATTTTAACTTTCCCAGGGACGACTTACTTTTAAGTCGTCCAGAAAAAGTCAAATATCTGACACAATTCGGTCAAAAGAAAAAGTAGACCGTTTTACCTAGACGACTTAATTATAAGTCGTCTGGTGTTTTTTTTTTAACAAACAAAGCTGGACGACTTAGAAGTAAGTCGTCCGTTTGACCAGAAGACTTATCCGTAAGTCTTCTACATCCAGAAGACTTACGGGTAAGTCTTCTACACGAAGAGATTTGGAAAAAAATTCAATTTCAAACCTTAAACTAGATGAGATGACTTCCTTTGCACACAGAGTCTTCTTCAACCACCCAGAACATCGAACGAAAGTAACCCACCAACAATTGTATGCTTAAATGGCTCTATCAACCATAAAAATTTTGCAATCAAAAGCTTGGGTTTTTGGTATGAATATGGAGACAAAGTGAAGGAGATGTTGTTTTTAGTTCATAACAATTGAGAAAGAGAATATGAGTATCGATTTTAAGTGCATTAAAAGCTTCAAACCTTGGTTGTACAAGGTTGTTGGGAGTATTCATGGCAATGGCAATGGCAATGTTGTAAATACTTGAAGATGATGAGGTTGAGAGAGTAAAAAGGCCATTTTCGAAAAAAAGTAAAAAAAAAAAATTAATGGCATTTTCGTAAATAAAATGAAGATGTGGGGTGGATAGGACAAAAACAATATGAGTTAAAAGAAGAAGTTAGTTTTGTGTTTTACTATGAGTTTTGAGTCAATTTTGCAAAAAAACCCTTTATTAAAACTATTTTTGTAATTATTAAAACTTTTCTGGATTTATAAAATAAATTATTTTTTTTTTTAAATTTTTGCAGGTCGGGTAGCGATAGCCAGGCGAGACCTCGCCGCCACACACCACGAGGTCGAGGTGTTTCTCGGGGTGGTTCTTGTGGTGGTTCGACCGGCACCTCTCGTGGTTCTGCATCTTTGCAGAACCAATATGTCGGGATTTTCCAGCTCCAGCTCCTCCGGTCATTTCGGGTACCATGACTATTGAACAATTGGTTCAACAGCCTGGTCGAGAGCATCTTCTCACTCTCACTCCGCATCCATCGGGCCCACACCAAACATGGTAATACTTTTTTTTAAAAAAATTGTCTTTTTTTCATTATATGTTGCTTGATTCTTAAATTTTTATTTCAGGTTTGATCGATCGCAGAACGGGATAAGTTCCTTCATCAATCAGATGATGTACTCGGCGCTCAAAAAAGGTTATCCTACCTACACCTCCTTCCCCCGAGAGGATCATGGGATGTGGTTTAGTTAGTTTGCGGTATGTATTTTACAATTTTTAAAGTTATATTTTTAATCTTTGACTTAAATTTCTACTAATTGTGTTTTTTTTCAGCAAGAGTTCAACTGGAATCCCCTCCATACAGCCTTTATCGAAAATGCCTTCACCCATAAATTCATGGAGAATTATGGGAAGCAAGTTTATGAGTGGAAGCAAAAGTGAAAGAAGGGCAAAAACCCGAAATTGATCAACGACAAAGTGTGGCTCGAGTTGCAAGAACATTGGGGGAAGACATAGACGCAAGGAACCTCTGACACCAATTCCAGCAACCCCAACAGCGACCGTGGCAGGAAGGATCGGTACAAGAACAACTTTGGTGCTTGCAGTATGTCAACTCTTGGGGATAAGCTTGTAAGTCGACTGATTTTCTTTACCTATTTCATTTTTTAAATTTTAATTTCAATTTTTAAATTTTAATTTCAATTTTAATGCTTTTTATTAACAAATATTTTTTTTCCAGGCAGAACAGAATGACGGTGAGCCGATTGACTCCCTCGTGTTAATGAAGGAGGCGTATACCGACAAGTCGACCGGAGAGATTTCGGATGCCGTTGTGAGGGAGGTGATCGACTTGGTCGAAACCCAGAAGGAGGAAGAGATCCAATGCCTCTCTCAGCTTCAGTCTGACGACGACGGCACTACTGTGGCTTCCCCCAGCCTTTCTCGAGTTCGAATCAACAAACTTGTTGAGTTGGTAAGATCTTTATTTTAATTTAATGTTTTTTTTAATTTAATGTTTTGTCACTGTTTTAATTTAATGTTTTTAGGCGGTTCCTAAGAAGAAAGGCCGTTTGTTCGGGTTGGCTCGTCGCTCCAAGTCAGTTCCTTCTACTTCAGAACCGGCTTGTGTTGATCCGGCAATCATGGAGCAGCTACAAAACAAGGATGACCGCATCGTAGCATTGGAGAACCAGAATGCCACAATTCTTACCATACTTGCTAGGATGGCAGATCAGCACAATGAAGTGGAGGAAACGAAGAAGAAGAACCAGGAGTTGTTGGATATGATGCGACATCTGTTCCCGCATGAGTTCTAGTCGGTTTTTTATTTGTTTTTTAAAACTTTGTATTTCTACTTTTAAAACTTAAAATATTATAATATGTTTTTTTTTTCAATTTTAGTTTTATATTTTTAAATAATTATTATATTAATATATACTAAAAATAATTAATTATTATTTATTATTATATTTTAAGAAAATAGGAATTTCCGAGGAAGAACATCCCTCGGAATATTCCGACGGCTGGTTCCTCGGAATATTCCGACGGCTGGTTCCTCGGAATATTCCGATGGTAATTGCTGTCGGAATGTCCATCGGAATATCCCAAGGAACCATCCGTCGGAATATTCTGACGAACTTTC